GAACAACACAGGACCCAATACTGTCCCTTGTAGAACTCCATATTTAATCGTCATAATCGTCACTCATTGTATCATCTATCTATCTATACATTGCTTTCTATTACTAAGATAGCTTTCCATTAATTTATACGAGTTTTCCCTGAAACCGAATCTATCCAAAACCTCCATAAGTTGCGTATGGCTAACGGTATCAAAAGCCTTCTTTAAGTCCACAAATATGCAAAGAGTTGGTATCCTTGAATTAATATTTTGACTAATGATGATTATTAAATGTAAAAGTGCATCTTGTGTGGACTTCCCCTCAGTAAAACCAAACTGCTTTGCAGAAATTATTTTATATCGGACGACATAATTCATAATTCTTTTTTTTTAGTGCCTTTTAAAAATTTTTTTCACGATTTGACATGATCGATATAAGCAGGTAAATATTGGATGATACTGATAATTTCTATCTCTGTAACTGCTTCAAGGTATACAGAGTTTTTTAAATTTATTTTGGGATAGCTTCTTTTTGTCATTTTTTCTCCGATATTAGTAAAAAATTCATTAAACGTATTGGCTATTTCTTTTTTTCTTTGATTATGATGTCCTTATCATTTAATATCTCAGTAATAGTTGTTTTATTTTTAGTACATACCTAGTGACTTTTATAAGTATTGATTTCCAAAGATCAGTTGAGTTAGTTTTATTTCTTTCTAGGTCTTTTTGATAGTAAGTATTTCTTTTTAGCTTCATTGACAAGTTTTCCAAAAATGTTTCTATATTTATTATATTGTCTTTCATTTTTTTTCTGTGTTATTATTTTTCATTTTAATATGTAGTAATTGCTTTGTTTCCACTGACTTCAAAGAATTGATCATCTACGGATTTATTTTAATTTGTTTCTTATGAATGTGGCCTCGTTAACATCATTTGATGAAAATATATCTAACCAGATTTCCTTTCTAATGTTATTTTGTAATTTATTTTTGTCCACATATAGTTTATATTTATAGTCCAGACGGTATCTGTTTCAAAGAGTCCATATTTGGGTGAATCGTATATCCACGGAGATTTTTGGCTTTTTGCCAAAAAACGTGGGCTTAACTTTTGGCGGCACAATATGTTAGAAAAATTCGAAAAATGTCATATTTTTCTTCCTATTTAATTATGTATCTCTTCAAAAGTTGATTTTAGGCAAAAATGAAAAAGGAAAAAAATGTTTGTAATTAAATTTTACAAAATATAACTACTTACAAATGGAATGAATCAAGATTATTATTGTAAAAATCGAAAAAATCGCCAAAAATGGGGTTAAAAAACATTACTTTTTAGGGATTTTTTTCGGGTCTTTAAGTTGGGTATAGGACCTTCATACCTACTTGGCTTAACAAAAGTTCATGTTACGTAGAATCGTCACACCAAATTTTATCAAAATCGGTTTGATAAATTTTGCATAGGTAAAAATTTTGCAATCCAGATTTTGAAAAAAAATTAGCAAATTTTCGAAATTTTGCACAGCAAAAACCAAAGTTCTTAGATACTTGAAAATTTAATCACATATAAAAGGGTTCTCAAGCTTTGAAGCGCTTTTTGAAAAATTCGAATCCGTCAATTAGGAGAACTTTGACGCTTGTTTAAATATTGGTCGAATTTTTGTACTACAATTTTGTATTTTTGTAATATTCTCATTTGCTTATATTTTTAACAGTAAATAATATTTGAATTATACTTTAATCACAAAAGAAATGATGATTAAATTAATAATTAATTAATTAATTACTAATTTTCGATATATTTAGAAAATAATTGTTGTGTAAACAATTTTAGAATATTTAAATAAATTTGTTTTTGATCTTTGATAAACAGTATATAAGTTTATGCACTTACCTTTGATACAATAAAAAAATAAAGTTGATAATTAAAGGAAGTTTAAAGATAAATAATTAATATCGGACTGTTGAAAGACCAATAATTATTAACGATAAGCGTTTGAAAATACGCTAATTGTTTTTTTTAATCGGGAGACATCGATTTAAAAAAAAATCATCAAAATCGGGTCTCTAGAAGCTGAGATATTAAAAATATTTAAGCGCGTCGCGGTTTTGAACTCGCACATTCAATTTCGAGCAGGCCGAAACGGCCGCGCTCTGTGCTCTCTCGCTTGCATAAATAACTTTAAACGCGTTTTAAAGTAGGTTGCCAATGAAGAAAAGTATTGCAAACCTAGACCTGGTAAGTACTCGGAATACCAAAGGTATTTTTCGAAAAATTAGCCCGGATGTCCCAGTACATTTAGTGTAAATGACGGTTAACTTTGATCGGCTATAACTACGTAACTAATTGACCAATCGATCTGTTTTTTTTTAAAGAAGCGTCTTTCCAAGAACTTTTAAAACCTGCTTTAAAAAATTTGATTTGATTGAATATTCACAAAGTTATTCTAATTGTTTATAAGTACAAAAATTCGACCAATGTTTAAACTAGCGCCAGAGCTCTCCTAATTGACGGATTCGAATTTTTCAAAAAGTGTTTGAAGGTTTGAGAGCCCTTCTATATGTGATTAAATTTTCAAGCATCTAAGAAAGTTGGTTTTTGCTGTGCAAAATTTTGAAAATTTGCATTTTTTTTTAAATCTGGATTGCAAAATTATTAGGTAGGTATGCAAAATCTATCGAACCGATTTTGATGAAATTTGGTGTGATGATTCAATGTAACATGAACTTTTCTTGAGCCAAGTATGAAGGTTATATACCCAACTTAAAGACCCTAAAAAAATTCCTTAAAAAGTAATGTATTTTAACCCGATTTTTTCGATTTTTTCAATAATAATCATGATTCATTCCATTTGTAACTAGTTATATTTTGTAAAATTTAATTACAAACATTTTTTTCCTCTTCCATTTTCGCCTAAAATTATCTCTTGAAAAGATACATAATTAAATAGGAAGAAAAATATGACATTTTTCGAATTTTTTAAACATATTGTGCCGCCAAAAGTTAAGCCCACGTTTTTTTTATGCGCATAGTAAATTTTCAATTCTAGTGATATTTTAAAGCCAAAAAGCCAAAAATCTCCGTGAATATACAATTCACCCAAATCAAAACTGATACCGCCTAGTCTATTACATTTATTTACATTATCATGCTTTTTCCATTTCAGGCACTATAATCTCCAAAATTGTTGAAAAATTGTCTGTTAGTTACCTCTGATTCTAGTATGATGGGCTTGTATTGCCATGTATTAATGGCATCATTAATAAAACAGTGATCGATGATTATAATTTAAGAAATATATATTTTTACATCATGTGAAGATGCAGTAGTTTCTTAATGAGAATCATTGAACACAACTAGATTAACTCGGTAATGATTTTGTCAGCGTTGCTGTGGAAAACGACATACTTTCAATGTTTATATTCAATACTGATATATTTTAATTATTTTTATGCAAATTCACTACATTTATTAAAAAAATTACCCATTCAACAAAAAAAAGTTATTTTGAATATTTGGGTTCTGTTCAGATTAAAATTTGGACGGCAAGCACGCGGTCGCCGCTCGTTTTTTGAACGATCGGCAGGCTTCAATGAATAGTAGTTTATGCAGGTTTACACACGAAACAGCGAACACACGGACCGCAGTCACAAACACAGGACCGGCAGCTACATAGCCAGCTCTAGTAAATGAACCCCAGGAACATGGAAGTCAATTTTACCTTTTACGTCCAATCTAAAGTAACGTTTGACCGCAATACCATGTGAAAGGTTCTCCGCGCGGTTTTCAACGACCGGCAAAAATGCCGATCGGCAAAACAACGCCCGTGTGTAAGAGCCGTTTTGCTCATTGAATATGCACGGAACCAAACTTACTTCGGCAGTCTTTGGACTGGCGTGGCGGCTCGTGACATTGAGAATAGGTGAAGCATAGTCATTGATTGATTAAAAAGAAAAAAAAAGCGCCGCTGGCAAAAATTTTCAAATTTTCAAGGTCAAGCGTCTTTAAATGAATCTGAAAATTTTTAGTGCATTTGCCATATTACCGAAAAGCTGACGTTCGGGAGAAGGTTTTTCGATTAGATTTTATAAAAAAATAGAAATATTAGTTCGGCTTGTGGACTTCTGCGAACATTAACGCACACCGCACATGTATGTTCCAAAGAAGCTTTGTGGTTACGACAACCTCGCGTGACGTTCCCAAAATTGATTAATCCCTTCTTATTCCACACGCCCGACTTTATAGGCTATTAAATACAGGATTTTAAAAGGAACTATGACATTCAAGATATTTTATTACATGAATCGTTCAAATGGTCATTTTAGATGAAAAAACCGCGGAGTGCTATTAAATTAGAGGGTGGAAATTGGAGATAGGGTTGAAAATGCATACCTTTCAGTTTTTTAATTGTAGCTCGAAAACGAAGCAAAATTTCGCTATAGTTCGTAGGAAAAATTATTTAGAGAATTGAATTTCCCACCGAAATGGCTTATTTAAAAAATTTAAAAGGAAAATTTTATGCAAAAAAATCGTTAATATACAATTTGAAAAAAAAGCAAAAAATTCGATTTTCTGTTTTTTTTTTTACTTTTTTGCCTCTAGTTCTCTAAAAAGTAGATAAAATTTTCTACAACACAAGACGTTGTAAAGTATTTTTGGATGAAAATTTACTGATATGTGGTTGCTCAAACTTGGCCAATTTTTCGATTTTCGACTAGTTTACCCTTATACGTTTTAATTCTAATTTTTTGCAAAAAAAAAAAAGGAAATAAGACGTTCAAGGATTTTCATCACATGACTTGTTCGAAGGGTCATTAAAAATGAAAAAACTGCGGGGTACTATTAAATTAGAGGGTTGAAATTGAAGATAGGGGTGAAAATGTACTTATGCAGTTTTTAAATATAGCACGAAAACGAAGCAAAATTTCGGTATAGTTCTGACTTTTACTTTACTTAAAAATTGATATTTTGATTTTAAAATTTGTATTAGGACATTATTTGAGGTTATAAAAAAATGCGTAAAATATTAAATAATTACTAAGAATTTATTATACCGTCGACATAAGATCTAAATAAGGATAATTTTGTGTACACCCCAGGACTATTGGCGCCTCCACAAACGTCTCCCCAGGAAGTGATGCCTATGAGTGTGCCGGATAGGACCAGGGGACCACCAGAATCTCCCTAAAAACGAAAATATTATGATGATAACGTTATACAGGGTGTTTTTGAATGAAGTAGCATAAATGATACCAGTGAATCTAAATTTCAAAAAAACACGATCTGCAAAAAATCGCCTTAGTAAAATGTTCACCCCTGAAGAGATATGGGCCATCAAAGTTTCCAAAAAAATTATGAAAATTGGCTGTAATTTGAAAACCGAACGAGGTACAAATAACAAATTTTTTACAGGTTGTTTACTAATACAGATGCGAGTTTTCAACTATTTTTCGAAAATTTTAACCCCTCGAAAGGGGTTGAAATAACCACCCCTCAAGCCATTTTTTGCCATAACTTTTATATTTCGTAAAAACTCGATATCCAAAAATACGCATTAGATAAACTGGTTCTTTTAGAAACTTTTACCTCTCTAGCAATTTTCCTTTAAAACTTTTCGTTTATTAATAAAAAAATAAAATGTATTACCATTCACCTCACACCGTATATGATTGCAATCAATCAAAGAAAAACTAAGTGTGCTGCTGTCATGCCAGTTGTCACAATTAACTCTTCTGTAAGTTGTCACTGTTATCAGCTAAATACTTTTTGGGTGTAAATTAACAAGAATTATGCCAAATTTTACTAATGATGAATATGTGGACATGCTACAAGTGTATTTTGAATGTCGCAAAAACTGTGCTGCGGCAACAAGAGCGTATAATGAGAGATATCCAAATCGTCAAGTTCCCCACAGACAAACTTTTTCGACGGTAGAACGAAGACTTCGGGAAACTGGAAAAATACAGCCGCATATTGAGGGTAGCGGCCGAAGACCTACTGTTCGTACTATTTATCTTGAGGATGCAGTACTTGCAGAGTTTGACGAAAATTGTCAGACTAGTACGAGAAAAACATAAAATGCACTTAAATGTGTCCCATAGTGTTCGGAATATTGTCCATGATAATTTATTATATCCTTTTCACCACCGGCCAGTTCAAGCTCTACTTGAACCAGACATGCATAAGCGAGTTGTTTTTTGCGAATCGTATCTTAATATTCTAAGAAATAATTTGAATTTTGCCTCAAAGATACTTTTCACAGATGAAGCAACTTTTCAAAGACATGGTTTAACCAATATGCACAATCTTCATTCGTGCATCTATGACAACATTTCAACATAATTTTAGTTTAAACATTTGGGCGTAACATTGTAGAAAAAGTGCTTGTCGGCCCTTTTGTTTTACCTCATCGACTTGGTGCTGTTGAATATTTGCAGTTCCTAAATGAGCATCCTACCACCACTTCCGGAGGAAGTACCATTAAATGTACGTCAGGCCATGTGGTACATGCATGACGGGGCTCCTGCTCACAGCACTGTAGTAGTTAGGCGGTGGCTTAATTTAAATTATACGAATCGTTGGATAGGTCGCGGCAATGAGGCACCAATCTCTTGGCCTGCACGTTCTCCCGATCTAACGCCCATGGATTTTTTCTTTTGGGGACATATAAAAAGTATTGTTTATGCGACCCCAGTTGACAGTGTTGAAGAGCTACAGGAAAGAATATTCGCGGCGGCTGATGAGATTCGCAACAATCCCATAATTTTTGCTCGAGTCCGTAACAACTTTGATAAACGTGTTAGGTTGTGTTTAGAAAGAAATGGCAATTATTTTGAAAATGTCCTTTAACTAAGTTTTTTGTTTTTTCTCTTTTTGATAATAAATTATTTCTTAGTTTCGTTTTCATTGTACTTCTATTTAATAAAAGTTTCTGCGACATTCAAACAGTTATTTGTGCAACTACTGTAAAGAGTGTGTATTTGTTGTACGATGCATGAAGTTTGCAGCTCGAGACGAAGTTGAGAGCTGCAATCATGTTAAGTGCAACAAATATGCTTTTTGCACATGTTGCACGCAACATTTTTTCTACGATTGTTTTTATTTCAAATTTTATTTAACAGTATTTTACATAATATTAAAATTTTAACTGACAACTGGAAATTAATTGCGCAAATTGTCAATGTCAGACGTTAGGTACTTATGGATATGCTTAGATTAAACTTGTAATCAATATTTTTTTTGTACTACTGTAAAAAAAGTTAAACTTTTGGCACAGTAGGTAGTGCAATAAGTAGTAAATTTTGCACGATCGTAGAAAAAAACACTTGTAGCATGTCCACATATTCATCATTAGTAAAATTTGGCATAATTCTTGTTAATTTACACCCAAAAAGTATTTAGCTGATAACAGTGACAACTTACAGAAGAGTTAATTGTGACAACTGGCATGACAGCAGCACACTTAGTTTTTCTTTGATTGATTGCAATCATATACGGTGTGAGGTGAATGGTAATACATTTTATTTTTTTATTAATAAACGAAAAGTTTTAAAGGAAAATTGCTAGAGAGGTAAAAGTTTCTAAAAGAACCAGTTTATCTAATGCGTATTTTTGGATATCGAGTTTTTACGAAATATAAAAGTTATGGCAAAAAATGGCTTGAGGGGTGGTTATTTCAACCCCTTTCGAGGGGTTAAAATTTTCGAAAAATAGTTGAAAACTCGCATCTGTATTAGTAAACAACCTGTAAAAAATTTGTTATTTGTACCTCGTTCGGTTTTCAAATTACAGCCAATTTTCATAATTTTTTTGTAAACTTTGATGGCCCATATCTCTTCAGGGGTGAACATTTTACTAAGGCGATTTTTTGCAGATCGTGTTCTTTTGAAATGATTCACTGGTATCATTTATGCTACTCCATTCAAAAACACCCTGTATAACGTAATTTTCAGTAATATAGCTAAAATGGAAAAGATTGTATTTATTGAAGTTGTTTAAAATATGAATAAACTAGGCATAAGTAATTTAAGGACAAAAAAGGTTAACTTCTATTTATTATGCTCTAAGTATCACCGTAATTGAGATTTCTCCTGTTTGACTTAAAGAAACGTGCAATTTTTTCAAATCATTTTTTTAATAAAAACGAAACCGCTTGTTCCAGAGGCAATTCGTGGCTAAATTCGAATTCTTCGCACACCAATTATTTAGATTAGTATTTCCAGAGAGTAATTATTTGGTTGTGCAACCTGTATATGACTAAGGTGCAGGAATTCTACTTTTTTATTTTTTTGGATTTTATGCCAAAATATAGAAGATGAACCCCTTCAGTGGGTCTAAAATACATTTTAAATCTGAATTAGGTAAAGCTAATAATATACCGTTCTTTATTTTTGACGTTTGTATGAGTTATATTAAATGTATTCATTCAACAATGAATAAAGTCCGAGAAAATTCAAATTAAGATAAGATTATAGCGCCGGATTAAGTAATGAAAGTAATTTATTAATTTTATTAAATTTTGAGAATAATAAGCATTTATTAAACAGAAGGAGAATGAAGCTGATCTAAATCTGGCATTGAATTATTTATTTCTATTATTAAATCTTTCTGTGTAAACATACAAAATACGAGGATAGTCCGTACAATAGGTATTTGTTAAGATAAAATTCCGAGGGATGAATAAGCCAATAAAGTTCTGTTATCCGAACTACTGTAACAATTTACCGCGGCAGAGGCGTGTCTTGAAATTTTCCGTCAATGTCTTTCTATCTAGTGTGTCGAATGCAGTTAATTCCAAGAAAGTGACGCAGGGGTCTTCTTGGAATTATACCTAAGCAAATATTGTACGGACTATAACAACATTGAGGGTGTTTTACTCCTTTTATGAAAATAAATTCAGCTCAAAATTAGGTCACTGAATTTTTTTATTTCAAGATCGTCAAGGAGTAATATTTTTGCATCAAAGATAAATAATAAAAATAAATACGATATCCAGAGATTTTTGGAATTTGCATTAGTTTGATGAGTAGACTGGTAAGATGCCTCAACGCTGTAATTCTGGTAGGTACTAAGTATGGAATATTTCATTTTAAATTTTAAATATTTAACAACTATTTATCAAATGTCAGATAATTTTCATTAATCTAGACATTTTCATAAATCCCGACATTTTTTAAAGAGGTTATAGTAATTATATATGTATGTCTAACTACCGATTAAGTTGCCTGGTATATCAGAGTCCTAAAATATTTTTATTAATAATATTCCTATAAAGTACACAACGTCATTTTAGATGGTGCATCAAACCAGTTATACTGGTTTAAAGATACGTATATCAAAGTACAAAGTTATGGCTCTTTGGAAAAAAAATAATCAAATAAATTTTCACTATACGATAACATACACGTTGTTGAAAGACTCAAGTGTTACTTTTCACTGTAAGTTAATTTTTAATAACGGGAGATGGAATCCTCAGTAAATAAATTAAGAACATTTTTCACTAGAAATTTGAATGGTTTTACTAACGTTAATAGTTTATGTATATTTGATTAGAGCAAAGCTGCGGTTCAATTTTGTATCCTCTTTATGAGAAAGAATCTGCGGAAATGAATTTTTAAAGTTTGTTTTTAACAGAAATTATCTTGCCAAGGGCACAGACAATGATTATTTACTAAATTTATTTCAGTTTGATTTCAGTATAAGGGAGATTTTATTGTAAGTTAGTTCATTAACGTTAACTTTTACTGTAGTCGAGGAAATAAAGCACTAAAAACGGCCTAACCTCTGAAATCTGTGCAGTAACATGGATTGTGATGCGGTTTTTTGCATTCGATTCGTTGGAGCGTCAAGTAAGTTTGTGACCCTATGTGATCAATAAGAAATGAAAATTGCATCGGTGCATAAGAAAAATGCATTTTTAGAATTGCATCTTGAAGATTTAAAATATGAAGAATGTACAATTCGGAAAATATTGACGGAAATGAGTTCAATTTTACTACCCGGGGGTTCTTGAGGTAGCTGAACACGAATATTACGACGGCAACGGTCTCCGAGGTACCTAGTGCCCAGGGTGGCCGGTTTCCACCTCGTCTCCTGGAGTTTTGTGGAAATTCGTTATAAACTTAGCCGAAACTCGTTACTTCAGGGTTTTTGGGGTCACTCAACACGAATATTACGACGGCAACGGTCTTCGAGGTACCTAGTGCTCCAGGGTGGCCGGTTTCCACGTCGTCTCCTGGACTTTTGTGGAAATTCGTTATAAATTTAGCCGAAACTCGTTACCTGGGGGTTTTTGGTGTCGCTCAACACGAATATCACGACGGCAACGGTCTCCGAGGTACCTAGTACCCAGGATGACTGGTTTCTGTGACAACTATTTATTTCCTAATTATTTTTTATTATAAAAATACATTTATTCATTACAAAAAATACGTTTTCTAAAAAATATTATACTTAAATATCTTAACAATTTTAATTTTTCTTATTTAATTTTTTNTAATAAATATTTAAAGATAGAAGCGTAAAAAGTCATTCTTTATTATTCGAACACGAACAAAGCGAGTGTTTTTTTTTAAATGCTGCGTATGTGCATAAATATATTTTTTACGTATGTGCCTTACAACATATTATCTTTTAGTCGAGGAAATAAAGCACTAAAAACGGCCTTACCTCTGAAATCTGTGCAGTAAGATGGATTGTGATGCGGTTTTTTGCATTCGATTCGTTAGAGCGTCCAGTAAGTTTGTGACCCTATGTGATCAATAAGAAATGAAAATTGCATCGGTGCATAAGAAAAATGCATTTTTAGAATTGCATCTTGAAGAGTTAAAATATGAAAAATGTACAACTCGGAAAATATTGACGGAAATGAGTTCAATTTTACTACCCGGGGGTTCTTGGGGTCGCTGAACACGAATATTACGACGGCAACAATGCAAAAAACCGCATCACGATCCATCTTACTGCACAGATTTTAGAGGTTCAGTGCTTTAGTTCCTCGACTACTGCTGCTAGCGCGTTTATTACATGAACTGTCAATGTAAAACTTTTTGAAAATAAAAGTTTAACCCTTTCTTTAATTGTCTCTAAAATCCCGATCCGATACGTCCAAATTATTGTAAACATAAGGTCTATTTAATGCAAAAAGAGCGAATTCAGGAGCAGCTTTTGTCTGACCCTGAGACAATTTGTTTATAACGCTGTTTTGAACGTCCTACTTTGTTAGTTGTAAAGGGCTACTTAGTTTGAACTTTTTGAATTGTTTCTTTCTCGATACGTTTCTTTGACTTAATAAGAACCTATATCTGCGACATTAACCTCAAAAATTAATGTTTAATAAATTAATTGCAAAAGCCAAAAGAAATTAATTAACAAATAGCTGGAGCAACAATTACACTGTCAATTGAATCAACGTTTGGTACATATGTTGGTCATCATTGCATTGACCGCCATTTTCATACATTTCATCACAATCAATCGCTTTTTGTAATAATAATGCGCAATTTTCGAAGAGTGATTTTCCGCGTTCGACCTTTATTTTGCAGTTAACAAATTGGTGAAATATGACTTTAAATTGTTGGCAATTTAATTGCCTACAACATAAAATAACTGATATTCTGATAGGTCGTCCTGATTTTCGATGAAAAATCACGTAAATTTGCCACTTATTTGCAATTTACCAACTTAGCATCACTTATTTCGAGTTACTTTTTTGATACTATCATTCTACATATCCTGCCCCATCATAAAGCGCAATACAATATCTAACTCGACTGGAGTATCAGTGCGGTTTAGTGTTATGGATTATTCAGAGCAGGATTTTATTTTTTAGATAGAATCAAGAGTTTCTTGTTATTTGAGTCAAAAATGGGGTAATGCAGCCGCAATATTTAATGTAATTAATGTAAATTCCTGTTTAAAAGTAAATTTTGTAAATATTCCGTTACTATTATTATTTAATAAGCAATAAAATAAGGTCGCCCACATAAAGACGAGACGAGAATCTTTCAGGTAAAATAAGGGAAAGTATATTAATACATGATATAGAAATAATATTGGATCTAATACTGTTCCATGTGGCACTCTATTTCTATTAATGTCGGAATTGGACACAACTGTATTTCATTTATTTAGAGTGATCACGGACTGATCTTGTTTAAATGTTTAAATCAAAATATCATGTTGAACGTAGTCGAAAGTCACACTGTGATCACTAAATATTGCAATCGCCTCGTTCTATTAGGCTTAATATCATTATAAAGAATAATACACTATTTATTTATAATATATTTTACTAAATGTTTTATAATTATTCAAAGATATTAGACATAGCAGATCGCACTGAATCACATCTATCGATCTACTTTGACGTCAATTCCGATTTATGTATGAATGCAATGTCTGAAATATTTAGACTCCACACTTACAGTAAATTTAAGTTTTTAACACGCATAGCAGAATCACTAGAGCACTTAGAATCCTGACATTTGATGCCTTTTGGCCTAAAGGTCATATGACGCCTGCTACTCACCTGACAGGTATCTTTCCCTCCTTCCGCATACCCAGCACAGAACATCCTATCCGTGATTCCACCAACACCAGTCCCATAGTACCCCGTACAAGTAGCTGTGGTTATGGTAGGTAAAGAAACGGTCTGCAGCTGGGTGGGAATGGTCCCATCGTTTGTCAATCGACCCCAACCTGTTGCAACAGCCAAATCACCGTTTTTTATTGCTGTGCTGGCGGCTATCATGGTAATCGTAGCGATGTTTGTTCCGAGCGCCAGGCTAGATTTTAGTTTAAGAACGGATATGTCATAGTCGTAGGTGTCGGCATTGAACTGGGTGTGCTGGTATATTTGTGACACTGCAACGACTGTGCCTCCTGAGTTGTGGAACGAGGATCCAGCTCTGATGGATAACTGGCTTGCTGTGATTCTTAAAAAGAATAAAATTAATTAATAGAAGTAAGATTGAGATTCAGGACTTCTACACCCATTGTTTTTATCTTCCTTTTTTATTTTTGCTGTTCGTTGTAAGAACTACGTTTGACCATAAATCGTGAATCAAATTGATAATAAATAGTACATTTATTGGCTAATAAAATAATCCTTAACTAACATTCAAAAGTAAAAGTTCAATAAACTTATCGAAAATGCTATTGATCTTAATTTCCACATGCAAATTCTTTTACCGATGAGTTTATGTCTTTACTAGTCTCCATAATTCTATGACACTATTTATGAAAGGTATTTTCATCATAAATTCAAAATTAACCTGTGAGTCGGTATAATCAATGACTATTTATTCCAATTAGATTGCTACATTAAACTTATGTGAAGAAATACGTTTTATTTTGCGTCAGCACATTCCTCACAGAAAATATATATATTTTTTTTAATTAAGTATATCCAGGACCGGGAAATGACGAGATCCACTTGTATCGTGGCTTCCGAGATCAAAGGATCTTGTGGTTTTTTTGAGAGCCTTTAGAGAAAAACTTTTCAATTTACTACGTAGAAATAATACTTACCTTACAGTAAATGACTATTGTTCTGAACACCTGTTATAAGAATATTTATCACCATATTTTTTAATATTTTGTTACTTTTTTCATTCATTCAAAAGTTGAAATTAGAAGTATTCCAAGAGATAACATTTCCCTAATCATTTTAAACCTCTACAATCGATTTACTAATTAGGTATTTATTACGAAAGGAACAAAAAGTTCATATATACCTACATACTTGTGAAAATCTTTCTTTCTCAGATAATCAATTTGGTATCTTAAGCTCATAATTTGCCGGAACAACAAATTGATTCTTTTCTTTTTACTCGAATTCAAGCAATTTTAATACAAATTAACACTTCTGTTTTAGTGCGAAATTAATAAATAATTCAGAAATTCAATCATTTTTCCAAAAAGACCCACACACGGGAACAATATTTTCAAAAAAACGTCACATTTCTCCCCATTCGCCTGATGATATCATATTCTTCAGGCGCTTCTAACATGTACCTTTAGGTACATAGATACTATAAAAATGAGCAACTTCGAATTAATTTAGTTTTACAAGGATTTAGAAGTATTTAGCAACAAACAAAGCGTGTTTCTTAAAATAGATACACTAATGTGCCTAAACTTACAAAACGATATAAAAGAATATTCCTAAATTTAAATAAAGTAAAAAATTTGACATTAGCCGGGTTATTCCTGATACTCATTCTCGGAAAGAGTAGCCTCATATGCAGGTGAGATCTTGTTGATATGTTATCGCTGTCATCATTAGCGTATTTTCTCTTGTTTTGTTTAATCTTGGCATTTTCTAGTTCTACTAAGTATTGTTATTGTTTTTCTTGGTGTTGTACTGTGTCAGAATGTTTATTGAGTGTTTTTTTCTTCAAGTGGTTTATTATAGATATACTTTTAACTATAACCAAACTCTTCCTTGACCGATATCCTGTTACGAGGCTATTTCGCTTACATGAAATTATCTTTAATGCTCAGCAACATTGAATGATTTCTAATATTGCCAGAATATCGCAATATTTAAGGTCATAATAAAGAAGCAATTTTTTTGGCACTTATGTTTAAAGTACATAAGGTCGAAAATTGTTGTAGTAAAAATATTGAGAAATTCTTCATGGCAATGTGCACTATGGAGTTGCCTATTATTTGGAGTATGTGAATTAGCGAAAAAAAAGAGAAATTCGAAAAAATTCCTATCCGCTATATTATTGTCTAAAGGAACATAACACAAGACATCTCTCATCTCTCAGGGAAAACCATCAATTTTAGTGAAAAGAGACTCACAGACAGCTTGTAGGGAGTAAAATTATCTACAAAATGAGACTGGTTAAATTAAAATCGGTTAATAAACAAAAAAGTTATTGCAAAAAAAAAATAAGAAAAGTGCCTATTTTTTAAATTGGCACACTTTTAAAGTATGACAAAACCCTCAACTTGTCATAGGTTCTATAAAATTTTAACAATTATTGCGATAGTTATAAACAAATTAAATTAACATAATAAATCATTTGTTTCTAAAACCCGTACTGGTATGTCTGAGTTTCCCTAAAGCATAATTTTTTTAATGATTATAGAAATTTTGCATAAAATTAATTAAAACGAGATAATGAATTTAAACATTAAAAGAATTTTATTTTTGTTTGCAATGCCAACAAAATTAGTACGAATTTGAGCTGTTAGTGTTTAATATCTCATATTATCTTTTATCTTTAAATTGGAAGAGGTATCGATAGATTTTTTAATAAGAAAAAGGGATGATGGAAAAAAATATTGTTGAAATGAGAAACATAATTTTGGTAATGTCACAGGTCTTAGGGCGGTAAATTTACCAGTATAGAATTTTAAGTCAAATATTCCAACTTGCTGTTCCCTATTTGCTCTTTCCATTCATTAGTTTTGGGTCACTCTGTAATTAATGTTTCATTTGACGTATTACAAAAAGTGTTACTCCAAATTTTCACATCAAAGTATGGTTGAATCAAATTAAAACCGAGTTCAAATAAAGAGAATATATTTTCAAAGGATATTTTTCTGTACCTTTGCAGAGGAATGGTTTAGATCAGGAGATTTCTGTGCCTCAAAGACCAAAGGTTGCATCGAAAAGACGTTTGCTTTTTTGAAGCCGAATTTAAAATTGTACTTTTTTTAAAATTTTATTTGGGGAATACTACGAAACGACATTTTTGTTTTGTTTGTAAACAACTTATTTATGACATCAAATATTTAAAAAAAATTATCGGAACAGTATTATCTAAAATACGATGGAATTTATAACACCATGGGATATACACTAATCCCAGTTGGTTTTCCCTTTAAACCGCGTTGATTAAAATAGGATTTCCAATGGACAAAACAAGTCGTCTGACCTTGAATATTCCCAGAGTTTAGTTATTGCACTTTTTATTTATTTTGTAATGACCTAGATAGATAATGTTTATTATTATTTTTTGTTCAACAATTTAAGATAATTTCAAATATATTTAGTTGTTCTACAAAAGAACTTTAAAAACATCCGTTACTGTGGTAAGTTGGTTTAGGAACAGCCAAACATATGTTTTAGTTTTTATGTTAATTACTAAATTACAAAGACATACTTAAAGAAATGGCGAATCTTCTTACTTACTCATAAGTGCAGTGGGCGGCAGTAAGAATATAAGTATTACTTATTATGCTTCCACCACACGAGTGACTGCGATTATGAAGGATTGAAACCTGGTAAGGATAATTAGATATGTTGGCGGGTGTACCACCGACTATTCTTCCTCCAGGTATGGCGTTTCCTGAAATGAAGTTATATGAACACACTGAAAGTTTTATTCTGAAGAAAACTGTTGCATTATCAGGAGATAAAAACCAATATCCCTTGACATTTTGTTTTGTTATTTTAGGGCTTGATATTACCGACAATTTCTGACAACAGAATATATGTAAACACTAGCTTAAATTTCTCAATTTATGATATCATGGTTAGACTATATTGGCTAATAAGGCTCCAATAACACTGCTATTTTTATATATCCAAAACAAGGTGTCCAAATATTTATTTTTCACCAGATTGAGGTAAATTTTGAAAAATATGGTAACAGTGCTTCGGAGGTCTTAGGAACAACTTCTTGGTTACAGAGTTTTAAACGCCCTTGACCTAAAATATTCGGGAAACGCCCTTATCCCTTAATGCGTCTGTGGACACTTCAGCTACAACCTTTTTAGAGTCGATTAACAAAATAACAATTTATAAAAAAGGAAGGCCCCAAAGAACTTCTATTGATCTAATCTAATCTAATCTTCTAATGTTAAATATATTCCCTTTGTTGAATCACAAAAATTCTTTCTTTTTTCCCTGAACATTGTATTGGCAGTTTGTAAAAAAAAGATAAGAAAAACTTCATGAACAGAAATGTGCTGGCAAAATTGAAAGAGGGCTTCTCAAGTACATTTCTTGCATTCGCGAAACAGTGACGTACATGGGGAAATGTTCTATCGGATATTGAGACAATGGAGGTATGGCATTAATGACGTTCAAACTCAGCTCTGGTGGGTGACTATTGCTGCCTTCTGAAACGAAACGATTCGATTTAACATAAGAAAAACAAATGAATTTGTTTTTTAAAGAAAAACCAACCTGAAAATATATTTAAAAAAGTCAAGCTGCTGCTTTTATTTGCATAGAGCATATATATATAGGGTGTTTCTTTGTAGAGGTCACAAATCCAGGGGGGTATTCTGTGGCAAAAAATCAGGATTTTTTGTTATACAGTGCTATTTTTTTAAAACTTGACATGGGCCAACTTTTTTATTTGAAGTGATAGACTAATACTTCCAAATGCAAAGTTGTAGGAAATAACTTGACTAAGAAAAATTTAAAAATAATTCTTTCCGGTGTTGCCAGATTTCTGCAGCAGCTACTAAAATGATATATTTTTAAATGACAACAATGTATTTTTTTAACATAATTTGACAAACCTTCAAATTCTAAATAGAAAATGTTATGTCACATTTCTTTATTGGAGTAGCCGTTTTTGAACAATCAGCAAAAACAACGAAAATAATCTGAAGTCATATTCAGGACTGCTTATATTTTATATCTCAAATAACCCTCAGTTGATGTTTTTCTTTTATATTTAATTTGATAAAATTTTGTTTAATTTAAGTTTATGTGCATTGTGCAATGCAATTTTTTTAAAACCTGACGTAGGCCAACTTTTTTATTTGAAGTGATAGTCTCGTACTTTCAAATGCAAAGTTGTAGGAAATAACTTGACTAGGAAAATTCTACAAATAATGTTTTCCGGTGTTGCCAGATTACTTCAGTAGTTGCTTAAACAATTATTTTTTTTAAATGGCAACACCGTATTTTTTTAACAAACAAAACAGTTTTTTAGCAATTCCCGATACGACCATTTTCATCACGGAAAAATTTCGAAAATTCTTTTGACCCTTTAATTTTTTGCATTAGTTTACAAGGATTCAGTTTGTAGCTCAGCAGACATCACTACTTTGAAGTGTTCTGCAGGTTGGAAAAGCTACAAAGTAGATGAAGGGTATGTTAAGATTATCTTCAACAAAAAATAGAGTTTGGGTAGAAAATTTTGAACACCAATGCTCTCGCTACCACCACTGTAGCTTTAATGTTTTCTTTATTTAAATTATAATAGCTTTGTTCCTAGTGTATTAGAAATATTTTCCAAAAAGTTTCATTTGTTATTGCTACTATGAAGATAACTTCTTCATTCTATAAATCTGGTTACAAATTTAATTTTTTTATATAAATGCCTCTTAGTACATCATGAAATGTTATTTTTTCTTTACTTGTGCCAAAATTACGAATTTTATAAATAAAGCTTCAGATAGTATGATTTTGTATCAGCTACTTTTCTGTGTTAACAGTTGATATGAATATATCAATAATTCATCAGATTATTCACTTCGTCATATTACTTACAAGTACTTGAAATGTCTAAATAGGTGCCTATAAATTATAAAATATTCTTATCTGATACACATAGTTAATTCTCGTATTGCTTACAAATACATACTTGAAATGTCTAAATAGGATAAATTATAAAAATATTCTTATCTGCTACTTATAAAAGTACTGTTAATTCTTCTGTAGAGACTATGATCAGATTTGTCAGAATTTTATGTATAATTAAGTAATTAGAGATGCCATGCAATTATAAGAGACATATTTTTGAACTGAAATGTCACAAATAATTAGAAAATCTGATTGTATAAATAACAAATAACTTTCAATATCGATAAGTGCACTCTTGCTACTTTAATTGTTTTCATTTTAAACAATTTAGTTGTTTATTGAAACATCTGTATCGTCGTCGTATCTACGAGACAGTAAATTTTGATAGTCTCAGCAGTCATAATAAAGACAAGGTCCAAATGTGTCCTTGTTTACGAAAAATAAGGACTCACATACCTTGCTACATGGAAACATTGTTATATTTTCCATCGTGACGTAACTAATATTATATTTACATCGTAATAATAGGTCATTTTAAACCCAAAAAAAAACACTGTACAGGCTGTTGAAGTTAAAAAATATCACATTTGTTTTGTTAATTAAAGAAGCCGCGGAGTCGTCCCACTTGAGATAATTCATTTGTCTAACAGCTTTAGTAGTATCTGCTGATCTTGAGACAAACGACGTATGGGTATCGACTTCAAGGGCATATTAATTAGCTAGAGCTTTTAAGTCTCCCCGGCAATACGTTTAATAGTATGCACATTTTACTGGTGATAAAGAGATCTAAAAGCAGTTGCTTTATGCCTTTTGTATGTATATTTAGCTGATAACTAGAAGAAAATGAAGACAATACAATACATACATTACAATACAATAACACGATATTTGACAGAAGATTCATTTACGATCAATGACAGTCTAGAAGAAACTCATGACTAAAAACAGTAATTTTATAATGCTGATTAAAAAATCGAATACGATTGTAGGTACATGTCCTTTCGTAAAGCTAAATGTATCTATAAAATATCTGTATTATATACTTACCATGGGAAACATAGACAACCTTCAATAGAAGAAGGAGCGTGAATGAACTTTTGATCATACTTGTACTTTACACACCTCTTTATCGACTAGCGATAACTAAATGGTACTGGCTGCCTCCATAATTTTTATAAGAGGGTACTCCACTGTACAGTGATGCATATCTTAAATGTACTTGACAGTCACAACAAGCTAATAAAAGTAATATCTCTATTGGCATCCTTTTCGAGTTTCCTATTCTTAGTAAACGGTAATGGAATACTATACAAGTTTGTGGAGGGTCCTACAGATTTCGTTATATTAAGTAACTCCAAAGGGGCAGTTGGTGAAAGACATATTGTAGATATTTATCATATGAGAGTTAATAAATAAGACGATATCGATCTTATCTCGAGAGATTTCTTTCGATTAACATAAATAATATAATTAATTGTGCAATGTTATAACAATTTAAATTTATGTTCAAAGGATGTGGGGATTAATATTGTTATTGAAACAAATAAATAATTTGACGGATTATGGCTCTGTTATCTCTTTATATAGAACTGTTTTCCTGTTGTTACAAGTCCGAAAGGTTCCCCAGCTATTTATAGAAATTTCTTTCAATTTTTTATATGACCTGCAGTAGGTTGTACAATTACTGTGATTTTACTTTAACGGCAAACAGATTTTTCTGGAGAATATTAAAAATCGCATAATTAATTCATAAATATTCAAATCTCGGAAAACAATAAAAGATTTTCCAAGAATTTTCCACAATTTTCTTTTCTCGAATTAATTTTTGTTATTTAAAAATGAATTTACCATTATTTTGTCTCCAAAACATTAATTTTCATATATTTTCTGTACTTCATATAAAAAATATACGGGAAAACTACTGGGAAAATCGAAGAAGTAATTTTGTAGAAAATTTAATTTTAAACAATTTTTATTTGAAACTTTTTTTTCGAAAAAAAATGCGTATTCATTGCGATATTGACAGTTTTTGGTAAAAAAAACGTGAAAAAACATAGTGTCCCGATTTTTAGGTTAACACCTCTCGAAATGTGCGTAGGCTGTGGACTTTCCACAAGTAATTTTTTTTTACAAATAGGAAGGTTATATTATATTAATCATAACCTACTGATGTAACCTACTACGATTTTTTAAAGGTGATATTGTACGGTTTTACGTACAATAAGGGTAATTTGTTACTCTAAGAATTGGGTACCTGACCAAGGGATGGGTAACCCCCGGTTTAGTAGGTAGGAGAACATTCAGTTTTATTGTAAATAGTCTGTAAGCAGATACCATTCATTAAACATATTTTCAAGCAACAACATCTCAATACATTATTTCGAACATACGACCTAACGGTCAATCAGATATTAAGCATTTTTTTTATCAAAAAGATAATATTACCAGGCTATTCAACACCCATCAAAATACCCATATACCAAATTTAAACGATAACTCTCTATTGAGTGGTTTTTATAGGGTGCCAAACTTCGAAAAATCAGACAACTAAAAATTATAATAAGCAGGTCAAAGATTTTTATGAAAATGAAAACAAGTAGGTAATCAAACAAAGAAAAAAATACAGGCAATACTTATTAAAAAAGTTCGCTTATTCCGTCTTTTTATGTCTAACTTTAGACAAGTCATTAATGGTTTTCTGAAATGAAAATACTTATCCAAACAGTAAATAATAAAAAAAAATATTCTCTAAAATTTTTATATTTTCTAGAATAAGTTCTGTTTGGTTTGAGGATGATTTCATCTTGTCTTATAGTATTTTCAAGCTGTAGGAACTTCAGTTTGGATGGGACGTTTTCCCATTTCGTTATACATACAGGGATGGCCAGAAGTACGGAATAAAATTCATATCTTTTGAATGAGTTAATTTTTTTTAAAACGCCGTTAACTGATTATGATTTTTTCCCATCTTTCGGTTATATAATAATTAATTTTTCTTCAACCCCCTAACCCCCAGCTACCCCTACTTTTTTTTTCAAATGGAAACATAAGGCATGAGGGGCCTCGTTGAAAAGCTTATAGAAAACCGAATCCAGCCATGCCAAATAAACAAGTTTTATTTTTTCAATAACAAGTTTTTTTCATTTAGAAATTGAAACAACTAGATAATTTACAAAAATAAACTCAATGTCGCAAATGCTGAAAATGTCCTCCATTCGCTATTTGCCATTCTCCAAGATGATAGTAAAAGCTGTCCACAGCATTCTGAATGACAGTCGGGGGATAATCTTGGCGACCATTCAACTGTACCCCGTCAACCAATCCAGCGATTTGGAAACATTTCATCTAAGTATCTTCAAACATTAATACCAAAATGTGGAGGAGCGCCATCTTGTTGGAACCAAATTCTTTCATTCGGTATATCTGGATCAATTTCATGAGGGAAAATCACAGCTAGAACAGGTATCAGGTCAAAAGTTAGGAAATCCAGGTAGCCTGCGGCAGTAAGATTTTCTTCAAAAAAGAATGGGACGAAGATTCTGCTGTTGATGATACCTGCCCATACATTAACTTTTTGTGGATGCTGCGTATGCGATTCGCATGTCCAGTGTGGATTTTCCTGGGACCAAAAGCGATAGTTGTGCCTGTTAGCTACTCTATTTAAATAAAACGTAGCTTCATCCGAAAAAAGGACGTTGAAAACCATTATTGTCGTCACACCGTCTCATCATTTCCTCACAAAATTGTAATCGCCTATCATAATCGTCTTCCAAATGCTCTTGGACAAGAAACATTAGAATTGCAGTTCGAGAAGCATCGTGATTGCGGGCCAATGAAACAGTTGAGGATTTTCAACAAGTTCTAATGCAATGTCTAATTTCTTTTCTTCATTCAAAGCACATGCCCGTCCAGTTTTGGGCAAAGTCTGTACTGTAGGTACCGTGTTCCTCAAATTTGTGAAATATTTTACTAACTGTCCCTTGCGAGATTTGGTTTTCGGGATATTTCGCATTAAATAAATCGCGCACTTCAGCCTGACTTTTTATTTTGTCTCCACATCCAAGCAATATAAACATTTCGATGCGTTGCCTTTCCGACAGTAACATTGTAATTCTGTAAATAACTTGATTTTGACACAGTAGTAACGTTTCGAACTCTAATTTACAACTAAAGCGAAAAATTAACTCAACTGGCAAGTAAGTGGTGCCAAAAAAACGCAACATACAAAAATATATTTTTTTTGCGTTAGCAGTGATTTCAAACAGTTTCAAACTCTTTATTTTATTCTGTGCAAATTCATGGAAGATAAATTTTATTTCACTTGTTAAGTAGGTGTTTTATACAACCCTAAAAACCTTGCTATTGAAAAAATAAAACTTGTTTATTTGGTATGGCTGGACTCGGTTTTCTATAAGCTTTTCAACGATCCCCCTCATGCCTTATGTTTCCAATTGATAAAAAAAGTAGGGGTAGCTAGGGGTTAGGGGGTTGAAGAAAAATTAATTATTGTTAAACCGAAAGATGGGAAAAAATCAAAATCAGTTAACGTGTTTCGGCGTTTTAAAAAAATTAACTCATTCAAAAGATATGAATTTTATTCCGTTCTTCTGGCTATCCCTGTATTATAGACTGACATTTTCCAGTAACATCACCTCGTTTTAGTTTTTGTCCTTGAGTTTTGAGATTTCCAAGTCGAACATATCTACTGTGTGAAAATTAGGTAAATTACTTATTTAAAATTAGCTGGTATTATGAAAGCATATAACTATTTTTTTGTGGATTGGTAGTACTGTCCTTGATATCTATGCAGAGTTTTCAAGTCAATATAATCAATTGCTGCAGAGCTGCTCTCGATTTCGTAAACATACGAAAGTGAGTTTATCGATTTTCACTATGTCTGATTTTGTGGAGCAAAGAACTTGCATTAAATTTTGTTTACGGAATGAATATTCTGCCGTGGAAACGTTGAGGATGTTACAGAAGGCCTTTAGTGATGAGGTTATGTCACAAAAAAATGTTTACAAGTGGTACAAAGACTTTAAAGGAGGCAGAAAACGCATTAAGGATGAACAACGTCTCGGACAACCATCAAAATCAACTGATGAACAATACGTTAATCAAATCAAAGACTTTGTGCTCGAAAACCGTTGATTAACAATTAGAGGCCTTGTTGATACTGTTGGCATTTCAAAAGGTTCGGTAAATACCATTTTAATAGATTTGTTTTGGCTTAGACAAGTCAAATCTCGTTTGGTTCCAAAAACGCTCAACTTTTTTATTGAAACAATGATTTCTGACTACCAAGACGTCATGAAACGCATCATTACTGGATACAAGACTTGGATCTACGCTTTACGTTGTATACGTCGATAGTAAGACCTAGGATCCTTTACGGCGCTGTGGTTTGGTGGCAGAAAACACAACAGGCCACAGCGAGGGACAAACTGAATAGAATTCAGAGATTGGCCTGTTTAGGTATAACGGGGGCGATGGCATCGACCCCGACAGCTGCACTAGAAGTCATGCTAAATCTGCCACCGCTGCATATAGTGGTGGAGAGAGAAGCGCGGCTAGCAGCATATCGACTCAGGAATAATAATGACTGGAGGGGTGGTTCCCACTCCAGGATCAAAGATACATCTATGTCGGAACCAATTCTTGGGATGGTATCCGACAAGATGGTTCCAAAGTTTCACTTCCACAAGCCATTTGAGACTCGAATAGAGGATCAAAGCGAGTGGGAGGAAAGGTTTAATACCCTGGAAAGGTGGAGCCTAGTATGGTTTACAGATGGCTCCAAAATGACCAGAGGGACGGGTGCAGGAATATATGGACTCAGACCCAGATGGAGTGCAAGCTACAGTCTGGGGGAGTTCCCTACTGTATTCCAAGCAGAAATCTTCGCGATAATGGCGTGTCTGGCAGAGAATGTACGTAGAGGTTATAGACGTAAACTCATATATATATTCTCTGATAGTCAAGCTGCAATTAAAGCTTTAGCCGCACACAAGGTAAGTTCAAAACTGGTGTGGGACTGTTTACAAATGCTGACTGAACTGGCCACCAACAATACAGTCAGACTGTGTTGGGTGCCAGGGCACAAAGGCATTTGTGGAAATGAGAAAGCGGATGAACTTGCGAGGAAGGGATCCGAGA